ATATATACACAGGTTTGCTTAATGTGTATATGAGCAAATTTTAAATTTTCTATCCAAAAATATTCCCCCAAATTTCAATGATAATAAATATAATAGAATATCGGCAAAAATTGCGTACATATCGCTTATTCATACATAAGTTGTACAGGATTTATAGTTCATTTAAAAAATCGGTTATTAATCCGCCAATGAAATCGTCGATTGCAACATTATATATTTATCCATTTTGGTACACTCTATATATAGGCTAGATCTAACACACAACAAATCCACAAGAGAATTCAGGTCGACAGTAAAAGCAGCCAGGCAACATTCACAGATAAGGGAAACGAGTTCCGTGACTCTTCCGCGAATCAAAGTGACATTTACGCAGTTACGATTGATTAATTCAATGCCGGTTAATGAATTTGCAGAGCTAAAATCGTATCCCTGTCGTAACCAAAGTCATAGTAATTCCAACTTGCTCCAGAAAACGGTATGAGATCACGTCTCGCGAAATTCGATTACTTTTGCTTTCTGTCATGCAGGCACGAACAGTTCTTTTCTTCAGATTCCATTTGAAAGAGAGCTAAAAAGTTGCTGTCGTATGACTGAGCAATAGATATAAAACTGCGTCTATCAGCGCGATAACGTTTGTTAGACCATAACGTGGCAAACGCAAACGACCATTGATATCGCCACATGTCTGGTATCGCTCCAATTCTCTGACTACATAAGTCGTGTGGCTTCGTGAGCTTAAGCTCGTATGGTACGTCGTGCTAATAATTGCAGACATTCATTGTTAAATTTTTATCATAATCGAAAAGATATCTTTCTATTAAATATCCTATCAAACATCCTATAAATATCCTATCAAATATTCTATAAATATCCTATCAAAAAAATAAAATCCATACATTTTTGCCCACAGATGTTTTTTTCGTTCAAAGTAATTATCCTAGGAGAGTTAAAATATCAACATGTCGAAATTAATTGGAACCGCAGGTGGATTATAATTTACGGTGGGCCTAATTTCGAGACTTGAA